AAAAATTAGGCATGTGACTCTTGGATCTTTTCAGCCATCTCAGAAGAAGCTAAGAATATAGATGGAATTATGCAGGAAGGATCTGTGAATGAGCTCTTTTCTAATGACATGATATGCCTGCCCCCTCATTTGCCTTCCACCATGGTTGGAAGTTTTCTGAAGCCTCCCAGAAGCAGATGATGCCATGCTCCCTGTACAACCTACAGAACTGTGACCAATTAAATATCTTTTCTTACAAATTACCTAGCCTCAGTTCTTTCTTTATACCAGTGTGAGACTGAACTAATACAGATGTCATCACACTGCTATAAATACCTGACACTGTATAATTATAAAGGAAAGAGGTTTAATTGACTCACAGTTGTACATGGCTTGGGAGGCCTCAGGAAACTTACAATCGTGGTGGAAGGTGAAAGGGAAACAAGGCACATTCTTCACGAGGTGACAGAAAGGAGAAGAGTGAGTAGCTAAGGGGAAAGAGTCCCTTATAAAACCATCAGATCTCATCAGAACTCACTCACTATCACAAGAACAGCATGGAGGAACTTCCCCCATGATCCAATTACCTCCCACCAGGTCTCTGCCTAGAAATGTGGGATTTATGGGAATTACAATTCCAGATGAGATTTGGTTGGGGACACAAAGACTAAATATATTATTCTATCCATGAAGGCTCCCAAATCTAAAGTCCTCACATTTCAAAGCACAATCATGATTTCCCAAAAGTTGCCCAAAGTCTTAACTTATTCCAGCATTAACTCAAAAGTACAAGTCCAAAGTCTCATCTGAGGCAAGGAAAGTCTCTTCTGCCTATGAGCCTGTAAAATCAAAAGAAAAGTAGGTACTTCCAAGATACAATGGGGGTACAGGCAATGGACAAATAATCCCATTCCAAATGGGGGAAATTGGCCAAAACAAAGGGACTACAGGCCCCATGCAATTTCATAATTCAACAGGTAATCATTAAATCTTAAAGCTCCAAAATGATCTCCTTTAGCCCCATGTCTTACATTCAGGTCACGCTGATGCAAGAGGTATGTTCCCATGGTTTTGGGCATCTCTGCCCCTGTGGTTTTGCAGGGTACAGCCCACCCCCTGGCTGCTTTCATGGGATGGCATTGAGGGTCTGCATCTTTTCCAAGCACAAGGTGTAAGCTGTTGGTAGATCTACCATTCTGGGATCTGGAGGCTGGTGGCTGTCTTCTCATATCTCCACCTGGCAGTGCCCCAGTGGGCACTCAGTGTGTAGGCTCCAAACCCTCATTTCCCTTCTGCACTACCCAGGCAGAAGTTCTCTATGAGGGCTCTGCCCCTGCAGCAAACTTCTGTTTGAACATGTAAGCCTTTCCATACATCCTCTGAAATCTATGCAAAAGTTCTAAAACCTCAATTCTTGAATTCTGTGCATTTTCAGGCCCAACACCACCTGTAAGCCACCAAGGCTTGGAGTTTGCACCTTCCAAAGCAAAGACCTGAGCTGTACATTGGCCCCTTTGAGCCACAGCTGGGACATAGGACACCAAGTCTGGAGACTGCACAAAGCAGCAGCAGGGCCCTGGGCCTGGCCCACAAAACAATTTTTTCTTCCCAAGCCTCCATGCCTGTGATGGGAAGGGCTGCTCTGAAGCCCTCTGACATGCTCTAGAGACATTTTTCCATTGTCTTTGTGATTAACATTTGGCTCCTCATTACTTATGCAAATTTCTGCAGCTAGTTTGAATGTCTCTTAAAGATATGGGTTTTTCTTTACTACTGCATTGTCAAGCTGCAAATTTTCCAAACTTTTATACTCTGCTTCCCCTTTAAACATAAGTTCAAATTCTTAACCATCTCTCTGTGAATAAATAAAACTGAATTATTTTAAGAGCACACAAGTCACCTCTTCAATGCTTTGGTGCTTAGAAATTTCTTCCCCCAGATGCCCTAAATCATCTCTCTCAAGTTCAAATTTCCACAGATCTCTAGAGCAGAGGCAAAATGCCACCAGTCTCCTTGCTAAAGTATAGCAAGAGTGACATTTGCTCTGGTTTCCAAGAAGTTCCTCATCTCCAGCTGACAGTACCTTGGCCTGGACTTCATTGTCTACATGATTATTAGCATTTTGGTCTAAAATATTCAACAAGTCTCTAGGAAATTCCAAACTTTCCCACATATCTCTGTCTTCTTCTGAGCTCTCCAAACTGTTCCAACCTCTACCTGTTACCCAGTTCCAAAGTCACTTTCACATTTTCAAGTAACTTTATAGCAGTACCCCACTACCTTGGTATCAATTTACCGTATTAGGCCATTCTCATACTGCTATAAAAAAATACCTGAGATTAGGTAACTTATGAGGGAAAGAGGTTTAATTGACTCACTAGCCATGTCAACATCCATTATCCAGAGCCTATGAACCAGTAACCTTACATGGCAAAAGAGACTGATGGAATTAGATTAAGGTTCTTGAGATGGGAAAGTTATCCTGGATTATTTGGATGGGCACAATGTAATTCCAAGTGCTCTTTTAAAGGGAAAGAAAAAGGTTGTAGAGTTGGTCACAGAAGGAGATGTGAGAATAGAACCAAAGGTCAGAGACGGAGATTTGAAAGTACTACACTACTGGCTTTGAATATGGAGTAAGGGGCCACAAGCCAAGGAATGTATGTGACCTCTAAAAGCTGAAAAGAACAAGAAAATGGATTGTCCTCAAGAGCCCCTAGAAGAAATGTAGACCTACCAACATCTTAATTTAACCCAATGAGACTGATATTGCACTTTTGGACTCCATACTATAGGATAACACATGGTCGTTTTAAGCCACTGAGCCCTTAAAAGAAGGCTATTTAAAAGCCCTTAAAAAATATTGGCCCTTAAAAGAAGGTCATTTTCTCTCTCTCTCTCTCTCTCTCTCTCTCTCTCTCTCTCTCTCTCTCTCTGTGTGTGTGTGTGTGTGTGTGTGTGTGTGTTTACATGAAAACAAGACTGTTGTCATGGACAATTCTTACAAATTTGAATTTTAGGTGGTTTCCTTATTCAATGTATATCTATTCTTTTTTAGCGTTTTGTTGGAAGAATGTCTAGTATACAAAGACAACAAGCATGCAATAGTTCTACAAAGTCATGTGTATCTATTTTAGAAAGCAGAATAAATTGTTGAAAGAGGCACCATTTATCGGATTTAGCATTCAATTTTTTTCCTATTTGATATGACTATATTTTAAAAACACATTTAAAAATATAAGAATAAAAATAATAACATTTTTTCACAGCTAAATATCAAGTCAATCACAAAGAAGAAAAGTCCAGAATTTACCAAAAATATTTTAGGTAGTAGAGAACTCGTAAATATGTAACAACCAGGTCTCTAAAAGAAATATGTCCTGACATCATGTTTGCCAATTTCTCCAACCACAGCCTACCTTAGGCCATTTAAGGTCATGTCAGCTAGCTGGCAAAATTTTCTGAAAACCTTACAATTGATTCCTGCAAGCCAGAAGAAGCTAACAGCAGCACACCACTGGCTGCATAGCATACAACTTTTTGCTACCAGTAGGGGAAATTCTGACATCTATATCTACTAAGAAGCTGGGTCACGCAAGTCCACTGGATGTTCTTTTACCTAAGGAAAAAAAACACTCATGCAATGATATTTTTTCTGAAGATAAATTATCACATAAAATGAACTGTCTTTTTTGAATGGCTATTTTGTGCTGGCTATCTAATTTTATATTCATTAACTCTATTAATTCTCACTGCAGCTATGTGATCTCAAATAATTCATAGCTCCCCAAATTAACTGTCTGCATCTAACTCTCAAGTATCTTTCATTACTGCAGAAAAACAGCCTTTCTTCACAATTGTTGATTAAGTGTTTTCGGACACATTAAATTAAATAAACACTGGAGTAGATTATTTTATTTTAGCCACTCATTCTTTAGACTTTGTCTTAATGTTTCTTTTTCACTGAGAAAAAATAAAACTTACATTTTGACAAGTGCCTTCCACAATATGGAAAGCAAGCCTTCCACTTTACTTCTTTCAGCATGAAGCCGCCACAAAGTGAATTGTTCAAATAACATTTTTTTCAAAATATATAACTTTTGTCCTTCCCACTCACCCCCAAACCTGGTTCAAAATGAAAAGATCAGGAGGCAGAGTGTTTGAGGGGGGCATAGCTGGTAAACAATGAGGTGACTATCAGTGTATTAAAAGTTTCTAAGGTGTCTTTTCCTTTTCTAAACATGATCCATCTGTGTACATCTTGGATAGTTTTTATTAAAATTATTTACTGATAATTTATTTATCCACAAAATACTTTGCAAAGTAACCTCTCTTCAGAGACATTGTTATAAATATAGCAAGTACAGCTACATTTAACAAATAAGTTAAACTATTATTATCCATTCTTTTGTTCAACCAAGTGAGCCTCAGTCTCTGGAGCAGTGTTGAAAGCATGTCTTTTGAACACATTAAAATAGGTGGTGCTTCATAGGGGGCTATTTTTTACTTTGGCTTTCTGATTTTGATCCAAAATAGATTCAGCCATTTCTATCACACAATAATTTTCATCACAGGAGTGTCTCTTTATAAGGTGAAGCTAAAACTGACCACAAGAACTGTTAAAATACTTTTTAATCATTTTCTTCCTAGCCAAGATGATTCTTTTCACATTTTCCTTCAAAATTTTCATGATTTGTAAATGTCACTGCAAAAGTAATAGACCTATACATTTGCCTTCAAAGTAGCTTTTGATTTTGTTTTTATTTTTTTTTTATGCATAAGAGATCCAAGACTTAGGCTCGCATGTGTTTCTAAGATGATCATCCCATATCTACATTTTTAAATATATTATACTTTTCTTTATCTGACATTTTTATTCTGTAGTTATGGTTGGCTTAGTGCTAACATATGTACCATTCTCAAGCTCATCGTGAGGACTTTAGGAAAAATGCTAGGTCTGTTTCACTCTTGCTGAGTTCCAGTTGCTGTGAACTTTCTCCCATTATCAGTTGTCGCCCTGCACAGCAGCGACATCCTGGGCCTCGTGGCCAGCGCGGACGGCGAGCTGCACTTCAGCCACAATGGCTCGGCCGCCGGCATGCAGCTGTGCGTGGACGCCTCGCAGCCGCTCTGGATGTTCTTCGGCCTGCACGGGGCCATCACGCAGATCCGCATCCTCGGCTCCACCATCCTGGCAGAGCGGGGTACCCCATCACTCCCCTGCTCCCCCGCCTCCACGCCAACCTCGCCCAGTGCCCTGGGCAGCCGTCTCTCTGACCCCTTGCTCAGCACGTGCAGCTCTGGCTCTCTGGGTAACTCTGCTGGTGGGACAGCCCCCAACTCACCAGTGAGCCTGCCTGAGTCACCAGTGACCCCAGGTCTGGGCCAGTGGAGCGATGAGTGCACCATTTGCTATGAACACGCAGTGGACACGGTCATCTACACATGTGGCCACATGTGCCTCTGCTATACCTGTGGCCTGCGCCTCAAGAAGGCTCTGCACGCCTGCTGCCCCATCTGCCGCCGCCCCATCAAGGACATCATCAAGACCTACCGCAGCTCCTAGCCCATTGCGGTGGGCCACCCCACACGCCCACCTCCTCGGGCTTCCGCCCAGCCCCAGCTGAGGAACAAGCCAGTGGGGCCCCTTCTCTTCCTCATTTTGGAAACTTTTCCTTAAAAAAAACTTGGCTTTTTTTAAGCTTATACTTCAAAGTATTTTTTTATCACCAAATATTATTACCAATTGAAAATTTAATTTTAAGCAATACATTTTAAAGTGAATGATGAAGGACATTAAAATCACAACACACACAAATTATCAAATATGGAATTTAAAATACAACCCTGTCAGGAATCACCATAAGAAGAAAAGAAACTTCAACACAGTAGTATATATGCAGGTAAAATGTTTAGATACAATTGTAGCATGAATTGAACTAATCTGCAGGAATCCATTTTGTAGTGTGTAATCAAAAGTTCAAAACACCTGATTTCAAAGATGGAAACTTTTATTTCAGAAGAAATAGCAGAGGTCATCTCCTTCTGCTCCTTTACTCCACAGCCAGTGTGTGCAACTCAGACTGCACTAGGATGCCTGAGTCAGTCTCCATCCCTAGTAGGTCATTCTTGCTCTCATGTCATTTTCCTTCTCTCTAGGCTGTCAAAGCAACTAGCAACCAGACTGGCCAAAAATAAGTTTCACTCTTTTTGCTTATAATAAAACCACTTTTAAATATTTACATATACTTGGCAATACCTAGATTATTTGGCACTATTCAGTACTATCCAGTGAAGAAACAGAATGAAAATATAGTTTCATCATGACCAGAGACTTCTTTTAAACCTTCAGAAAACTTGCCAGAATAGTACAGTAAAAATGACCATGCCCTTCACTCAGATCAGTATTTTTCAGCCTTTAATTTAAAATAATGCCCTCCTAAGAAGCTTTTTAGACACTTTTTCCTAATTGTAAACCCCCACCCAAGTTTTAATACTGCAGGTATACTATATATCTGTTTGTGCACTCTATGTGTACACATGTAATACAAAAAGAGTTAAGTTTCTGGCATCCTAAGAACCAATTTTCACCCTCTTGAAGGTGATAGTATCCCAGTTGAGAACCCTTGACCTAGATACGCCACTTCTTAATATTTTTCCACATTTATTTTTTCTCTCTCTAATACAATATTATACACACACACACACACACACACACACACATACACACACATATACATTCAGAAAAATTGATGCTCCAAAAATAAGTGCCATATTTATCTTGAATCTGAGGATCCTGGAGACAAACCTATCCCAGTTAAAGACCCAACCAGATCTATTAGACTCATCTCTAGATACACTATTAAATTTCAAGCAAAGAGCATCCATGGTAAATCTCCCAATATGAATTAATTGCACATTATACAGTTACATAATTGAATGATGAGACTTACTATATAGATAATACCATAAATTATCATTTTAGCTTTACAGTGGTTGAACTGCACACACTATTTTTGGCCAAAATTAATCAGCATAACTTGCTTACAGCCAGTAAGTTGCCTGAGGTCTAAAACCCTTGTGTATTTCTTCCTGATAATTAAGGTGAGATAAATGGTCTTTCCAGATGTCAAAGTCAATCTAGAGGTTCAAGGAAGAGACTCATCAGTATTGCCTTGGGTAGTTATGGTGAAAATCTCCTCTCTGATGACTCTGGCCATTGAATTCTAACACTCCCATGAAAATTTATTTGAGCTTTTTAGAGGTGATAAGGAGTTTATGGTGTTCAACTTGATAACATCTTAAGTGGTTGCTTCTGATACCCATTTTTAAAACAATTTTGTTTTATATATTTAAATAAGTTCCTAATATTTTTGTTTGAAGAAATATTTTCATGATAAAAATATGATTTTTTTTTAATCCAACAAAGTAATCTAACTCAGGGATTTGGTAAATTTTTCCCTACAGGTCCAAAGAGTAAATTTTTTTTGTTTTAACACAGCTACCAAATTCTTCCAAAGTAATGTAAAAACAACCATAGACGATATATAAACAAATGAGTGTGGCTGTGTTCCCATATAACTTTAGAAAAGCAGGCATCAGACTAGATTTGACTGTAAGCCATAGTTGGCTGACTCACTGGTCTAATTCATTGTAGTCATTGTTAAGGAGGAAAGTTTTTCCTCCTGTACAGGTCTATGATTCCTAGTTAGTAAAGTATGAGAGATAATGTTGGTTAAGTTTCACAAATATAAATAAATAATCTAAAACAATAAATTATATATCAAGAACAAAAAGATTGTTATAAATCACAAGATTATATTAATTAGCAATGGTGTTCATGAAGTTGTTTGTTTCAAGGAATATGTATGTGCCATATACTTAAACATTGAATAAACTGAGTAGAGAGCATAGAAAAGAACAATAAACTCTTACTTTTTTACTGCAGCACAGATTATAATTTAGGAACCCTGTTGAAAGCTAATTGCATTAGGCAAATAAAAATATTGTATGTCAGAAAAGTAAACATTGACAAATAAAACCAGAAGAATTTATGAAACTATAAAATATATCTACTTTTACCACAAACTGTAATGTAGCATATTGAATAGATAATAAAAGTTTTGAGTAGATAATAAAAGATAAAGGTTTGGCTTTAATGGCTTAGAAGCTACAAGTACTGCAAGTGATCTTTTTTTATCAGCACTAAACTCAGTGTCCTTATTAGTAGATTTCACTTAGTCATGATTTCAGTGATTTTTTTTCCTTGTACACTGAAACTATTGTCAAGGATTTTCGTGCATCTCAATTGACAAGAGAAATACTGTTTACTCTGTTTTGCTTTTCTTGCAAGTTTTCAGTGCACATATAAGCAATTTATCCGCATTCAAGGCTATCTGTGGGTCACATGAAAACACTTAAAACTTAACAGAATCTTAATAATGCTCATGTTGGAGAAAATGTCAAATGGTAAGCAGCAGATGTGCAAATTTTAGTAGGAATTCAGGAACTTATATGTTATTTTTATGGAATAATTTAGTAAATAGATAAGATTGTCCTCCAGAATACTATTTCAAAAGACATTCCTAAAAAAGATGTTTGAACAGCAGTGAAAGAAAAAGTTTAACAAGATAGTGTTAAGGTAACTTTAAATAACTAAGACCATTGTGTCAAATACCTTTATGAACAAAATAATGACAAACCACCAAGGTTAAGCAAATTCAACCATACTGTTCAAAAAATGGCTTCTTTAAAAGAGCCTGTTGTTACAGTGGCCCCAAACATTTTCATTTGCAGCATCTTCACTTGGTCAATGAAAGATGACAGATAAAACCTGTGGCATAGATAAATGCCATCTCACTCTGAATCAGACCTGCAGTGGTGTATTTCACTTCTAATCTCTTGCCCTGCTATTGGTGGTGAAGATTAAGGCTTCTTTCTTTGACTGCACCATTTCAACATCACAGTCTCATTTAATGTAACTATAGTATTTCACCGGGAGGCAGCCAGATCACAGAGGCTGTCAACAAATCCATGTTTCCTTACAGTAAAAAGTTTTCTAAATACTCTTAGATTAAATGTGCTTGAAATCAGGAAATGGTATGTCCTGAATTCCAAAAAACACACTGGTTGCTTATAAGCTTCTGTGAGATTTGCCAAGTTACATCTGTCAAGCAACCCACCTCAGAGCTTCAGTAGGACTTTAAGGACCTCGTAATTTGAAAATATCAGCTTCATTGCTTTGTAGGTCCTTCTGGTAATAAATAAAAAGCATGTCTCTTCCTCAGGCTAAACTGAAGATTCTAAGAAATTAAACTCTCCCCAAAGTAAAAATAATTGCTTATCAAAACATTAGCAAAAATATTAATAATGTTTCTCTATCGTAAAAAGTTACAGAAAACAGAATACCAAACCTTAAAGAAAACACTTAAAAATAGTTCAATTTATTTGACACACACATTTTATACATATATATGTCTTTATATAATATATATATATTATATTTCATCAGTTTGTCTTTTGTCTTTGTATTTTTTGCCTGTATTCTTTCTAACTTTTATGTCATATATATATGGGACTATCTCATATCTCATATATATACACGACATGGATAGATATAAGTCATGGGATATATGTATATATGTATATATAATGTATGCATATATGTTTTTTAACATTGTCCATTTAAACAGCTCTCACACAAATAAAGTATTGTCAAATGAATAGAGACCATAAACAGACATTTATAAAAGAAGAAATACAAGCATTTTAAAAATGCAAATTAAAATAACAATGATAAATCATTTTTAACTACTTGATTGCCGAAGATGTAAAACATGGGAAGACATCCAATATTGGTACCAGGGTGGCAAAAAATGTGTGCATTATTAGGATATAAATTAATGTTAACCTCTTAGCAGAAAAAACTATCAATGTGTATCAAAATGTTAAAATGCTGTGCTATACCTTTGCATAATAGAAACAACATTGAGCAAATATATATAGATGTTCTACCACTTTGAATATATACTAAAATGAAACATTGAGATATTACTCAAAGATGTTCACTGGAGCACTACTTATAATGGGCAATAATAGGTAATATTAAGTGTTCAATAGATAATATTTGTCAAATTCTTATTACAAACATTCACAGTGCTAAACATTGTATGGTGCATTTTACAGAGGATTAGATAATTTACATAACTTTTCCAAATGTAGCCAGCCAATGAATGGCACAACCACTAAAATTCAAGTCTATCTGATCAAAAAGCTATTGGCTAAAATAAAGCGTACTACAAAATAATTAGTCTACTTATCTAAAGAAGTATCCATGCATTCAATACTCTATATACACCAAATCGATAGAATACATAATGGTAAAAGAACAGTCTCTTCAATAAATGGTGATGGCAAAACACATTCTACATGTATCCATATGTAGAAAAGTGAAATGGACTTTTATCTCATGCCATATACAAAACTAAGTCAAAATGAATTAAGGACTTAAACATAAGACCTAAAACAGTAAAACTATAAGAAGAAAACAGGAAAAAGCTTCTTGGCATTGGTCTGAGCAATCACTTTTTGGCCATGTCCAGCAGCACTAGCAACAAAGCAAAAATAGAAAAATGGGATTGCATCAAACTAAAGCTGCTGAACAACAATAAA